AAAAAAAATTATAGGTTCCCTGTTATATTTTAACTCGGATAAAATTACTATAAAATGAAAATAATTATAGGCAATCGGGGTAGAATTTGAAAAAAACTTTTATAGAAATTGTGTTTTTGCTTTTACTAAAGTTTCATTTTATAATTTTATATTTAAATTAACCGGACGACGATTTTTAAATTGAATGTGATTTATACTTCATTAATCTTCCTTAGATTTATTGTACGATTTTAGATGATAAAAAATATAGTGATTTGATAATATAATGTTGTTCCTTAATTTAAAGAAAATTTGTTTTTTTTCATTTATTTAAATTTAAATGTTTCAATAAATAAATATTTTTACAAGTATGCGTCTAAAATTAATTCGAATAATGTACGTTATATTTAACAACACCTTTACTAGTATTTAATAGATAATTAAAATTTTTTTTTTATTAATTTACAATTCCCATATGCATAAGTATATAAAAAGAAAATTAAAGCATTATTAATAATAATTTTAGTCTTTTAAAGTGCATGATTTTTTTAACAAATGATTAATGATTTTTTACATTTTATTAAAATATCTATTAGATTTAGTAGCTCAATTTTGTAAATATGAAAATAGGTAATTAAGTATTTTACATTTAATTTATAAGATGCCTTTTTATGCACTAACAAGCTGAATTTTTTTTCAATATCGCGGTTAATAACTTTATAGTGGTTGGCAACAATAAGACACTTGTGATCGTAAACAGAGTTATGTTCAGTTAAATTTAAAAAGTAACAAGTGATGTAACAAATTTAGAATGTCAATATAGTTTAAACTTCACCGTAATTAAGAGGGTTTTGTGGTTGTCTGAGACGAATTTCTTTATTATTAAACAAAAATTAAATTAAGGTTAATTTTATAAGAAATAAAGATTATATCTGGCAAGGAGTAAATTTAATTAAGTACATCAAATCAACTGAATCAGGTTAATAAAGAAATAACCAATATAAATACTTTAAGTGTATTACAAATTAAATTATTTTATGGTCTCTAAACATTACCAAACAAATTATTAAACTTTTTCTAGAAATATTCATCAGTAAAAAATATATATATGACACTTCAAAATTTTCTTCACTGTTCATCAGAAAAATAAGTTGGTTATTATAAATATTTACTATACAAAAAGATGCCTGCATTTAGGCTTTTAATTTTTTATAACCTCATCAAAACGTAAAACTACTACTAATAAACAAAACGACCATAAAGGTTTTAATATACTCCTAGTGGTCTTACCTTATTTTATTGAGAGGATTACAACACGAAATTAAAATTTTAACATTTATTCAAATTTATTGAGAAAAGTGAATTTTTTTAACAAAAGTTTATTATTTACAAATAAATAATTGATAATTTTGAATGAAAACTTTCTTTCATTTTATTTTTTGCATTATGCGGGCATCTTTAAGATCCAGATAAGAATTTCACAACAAGACGATCAAGACCTCAATGTATGCTATGAAATATATTTCCAATAACTTTATTTCCGATGGAATGACAAGTGTTTGAATAAAGAAGGTGGATTTTAAAGACCAGAAAATATTTTCTTGCAACTACCTAGTCGTAACGAAATGATCAATATAAAAAATTGAATTTTTATATGCGTTTTGGTTTAAAATATTGAGTACATTTAAAATCATTCTGACTAATATTGTTTAATATCAATTTTATGTTAAATATAATAATATAACAGTTAATAGTTTGTAGTCAAAAGCTAAAACAAAAAAAAAAAAAGAGGTATAATTCAAGTTAAATTTAAAGTTGAATAATAATTGTATTTAAATAACTAAAATCAAAATAAACTTTTGATTTTACTTGAAAATTAAAAAAACCCATCATTTTTTCGAGTTGTTAATATTTAAGACGATAAAGTATTTACTCTCATAAATAGTTATATGATCATTTTTTATTAATTTAAAATTTAAAATTAAAAATAAATTATTTGTTTTAATTTTGGTATTATAGTTATTTGGATTCAATAAATCATTTAAATTGCATATAAGGTCATTATTTAAAGATACTTTTATATATGTATATATTATTTATAACAAATTATACAATAATCAAAATAATTAGTTACTAAAAAATTTAATAAAACATTCAATCTACAAAATAAAATAGGTTTTTATACAAAAAATTGTTTAATAAAAAAGTAATTTTGTTTTTTTTTGGCGTAGACTAATTAACAGTCATTTAAATTGTAAACGACTATATGTTCAACAAGCTCTTATTTTCCGTAAAGAAGTTTTAATTTTTGAAAATTTTAAAGCAAAAAAAAAATTCTAAAATGATAATTAGATTTTATTATAATTTGTTATAAATTTCGTTGGATTATTTTGGACAGATAAACAAATAACCTTCAGGGCGCTGCTCATACTTTTACAATGTATAACATTTTGATGGTGACGACAGTGTATAAGCAGGGTAAAGCAACTATGGTATAGCGGAATGGTTAAAAAAAACATTCATCAATTTTAAGGGCTGTCAGGTTGTATTCATTGCAGCGGTCTTATTTACCACTCTTTTCTAGATATACACACACACACACACACATATATATATATATAATGAAAACAACAACGCACACCATTTAGATGTAGTCGACCAACCACCAAAATCGATACCCAAGTAAAATGAGAATAAATAAAAAATATAGAAGAAAACAGCTAAAAGATATAGGTTACTCGCACACTATCAATCCCGCATTTGTAGACACCTGTGCACGCTTTTGTAGAAATTATGTGTATGCTATGGTTTATATGGATGAGTACAGATATTTTCTGTACTCTACCAATTTTAACTTGAATACGTTGCGGGAAGATACTGTTTTTTTTTTTTTTTTGTTTTTCATACTTGGTCGCTTTTGCAAAGTCAGTCGATACAATTTTGTAAGAAACAACACAGCTTATGGAGTATGCTATTATATCGAATACACAGGTAAGCACATAATACATAGTTTAGAAATACGAAGAATAAGAAGAAAGGAAACGGCTATGATACGTGGATTACGCTGTTAGGGAATACCCTCCGGCGATCGTTTTCAAAAGATATACAGTAAATTTTGAGAAATAATTTTAGAAACCGCGTTAGAGAATAATGTATTAGTGATAACTAAGTAAACATCATTTGGTTGTAATGGTGCTTGTGTCTTAATATTGTCAGAGTTGCATTGTTTCTTTGAAAATAAGTATAAACCAAATAAATATCACAGCAACTTAATAAGTCACAAATCCAAACATTAATCAAAGTTTCGTTAGTAAATAAATAAAAACATACCGCGATAGATTAATGAATATCTTATAAATAAGCTAAAGATTTTTCAAACAAACCGTTATTGCATTTAAACTATTAACGAGCAATTATAATATTTGTTCATATAATTATTGTAAGAAATAAACGCAATAAAAACATAGAAATAACAGTTAGTTGTTGAAAAACATGATTAAAATATTTAAATTATATTTGTCAATAATTTTCATTAAAAGTGCCCAAATTTGCTGAATATAATATTACACTATTTACATTATAAATAATTTTGCGACATTACATAAGGAAATGCGAACAATTAAGAGCAAAGATATTTTAATTTAGTGTAACTCGTTAAATAAATATGTGTTTAGTTGGTAATTAGTGTGCAAGAATAAATCGATTAAATGAACGACGGACTGGAAATTCTTATACGCTATACGTTTTTTTTTGTGCTACAAAAAAAAATCTTTTCTATTAAAAATTGTATAACTGTTTAAGCACGTTTTTACTTTTTCAATAATTAGTTTAATTAAACTCTTGATTTCTAATTAGATTAGCCATTTATGTTTATTTATTAACCCTAGCTCTCAACCAATGACGTCTTTGAAAAGAATTTTTAGTTTTCAATTAGTTTAAAAATTAATCAGAGATAACCACTTACATTTGTTAATAATTAATATACCAATATTTTAATGATTTTAAAGGAATTTTTGTGTTGAATTACAAAAATATTTATACAAGTGTATTTACATTTGCATAAACATTAATTAGAAATGTTTTCTCGGTCATTTCATTACTAAATTTATTAATATTAAAAATTATTCGTTTGACAACAGCATTTAATTAATGAAAATGATTCTGTATTAAATAGTTTAATAATAAAACATACCAAAAAATTTTCTGGTCAAATATTAACATTGTATTTTATAAGTTTTTTAATATAATAAGTAAACGTCCACTTGTTGAATTTATTTTAAGTTCTCACTGTTAGATGTACAATATTTTATTTTTTTGTTTTTTATGTAAGTTTTTTTTTACATAACTAGTATCCTTAGGTAAGACCCTTTTATACTGATAAAGCAGCTCTAAAATATAATATTTGTATCACGTATACAAAAAATATAAGTGTTATTTATTTGTTTTACTTGAATTTTTATGTTATCATTTGTTAGAAAATTTATCGAGATTTTTGGAATACATCACAACAGGACATTTTCTAGCATTAAATGTTATTATCATTAATCGAAATGTAAAATTTTAATAAAAAATAAGATTACCCGACGCCTATAATTAATTAGTACGTGTAAATTATGGACTTTATTAAATTTTGTAACTATTATCTAAAAGCTGACAAGTAAAATTTATAAATACTTTTAGTGATAAAATAAATTTTTAAGTTTTTAATGCAAATTAATATTTTTTAATTGCAAATTACTTACCTCTTTGATAAAATCTGCTTGTCTTCTAGCAGAAAACAAAAAATACCATCTTTTTTATCTCATATATGTCATAAATAGTCCTATAATTTTTTTACTTTTTTTTAGAAAAAAAAAATTCTGATGACTGCTATACCGTTTATATATTATTTAGTTTAAAATTAATGTTATTTAATCGTATAGTATTTTACTATTCAAACTTTTATTTAGTTTTAATATAAACGGCTTCTCGATTAAGTAGAAATTATTTATTAACCAAACTAAATGAATGTACAAACTTACTGTGGTAACGGTACTTGCACTACTGCTTGCTCTATGACCATGTTTATTGCGTTCGGTCAATGCAATCTTTGACTCCACCGGACCAACACCATTTTTGACACTGATTTCCAGATAACAGTGACTATTTTCTAGGTGGGTTTGGGCCCTTCGCTCTTCAAGCACAATTTTACGAGCAGCTTGGAAAATCTTATAATAAACTGTAATCATCACAGTTAAAGGTATGTAAAATGAACCCAACGTCGCATATATTTGATAGCCGGAATTTTGACACACAATACAGTGCGGCACACCATCTACTATGGAATGCTCATTCCCTAGTATAAGAACTGGCGGCAAACTTATACAAGCAGCTCCCAACCAAACAAGTAAAACACAAACTAACATCCTTCGAGGCGTTCTCTTTACACCATACTCTAACGGCTTAGTAATTGCATAATAACGATCGACGCTTATCATGCATAGGTTTAAAATGGAAGCAGTACACGAGAGGACATCAAATGAAACCTGAAATTAAATATGCATTATTTTATTCAATTATTTATTATTAAATCATTAATTTTTTTTAATTAGGCTTATAAATGTTAGAAGTTAATTTTAACCAATTTAAGAGATTCAAGATTTAAAAGGAGTATAACATAAACGCAACTAGAATTACAAATTTGGTAGCTAGTTGTATATTTGCCAATCCTAGAGAAAAAATTTATATAACAATAAACACAATTTTCAAAACTTTTGGTAAGCTTATTCGTCAATATGGGTGGCTAAACCCCTTTTGCTCCCTAGTTGCGCCTATGATCTATTAAGGTTTAGCTATTAAAAAAAAAAAAATTAATATACACTATACACACCCAAAGATCACACATGAATTTGCCAAACGGCCATTTGCCTAACACGAGGTACAGTAGAGCAAGTGGCATAACGAGAATAGCCACACACAGATCAGATACGGCTAAAGAGACTAGTAAGTAGTTACAAGGTCTCCGAAGTTTCCGTACTAGACACACCGCAATACAGACCAATATGTTTCCCACAATGGTGACCACAATTACCAGGAAAAGTACGGAGCCAATTGCAAAAGCTTCTAACGCCGTGTAGGAGGATGTCGAGTTCTTCGGCCACGACACCAGAGATCCGTTGAAGTCGGTTACGGCCGTGACGTTGATGCCGTCCATTTAAGTGACATCCGGGTTCGCCGACCCGAGCATAACCAGTTACTTAAGTGACGCTGGTCGTCATTGTAGCCAACATCCCTAAAAAAGCCAAAACCACAATTGAAAATTTATTTATATACATAAACTTTATTACATTAGTAAACTCAACAATTTATAAAAGTATACTAAATTTACACCTGAGCTAGTTGAGAAATAAAATAAAATAATTTTATTTTCTCTTGTAGCATAAATCCATACGAAAACTAATTCCTATACTACTCGATGATTAAATAAATGGAAAGTTATATATACTAGGTGGATATAGAATATCTAAATAACATTTGATGTCAAAATGGAAAAGCCTGTAAACTACTACTGTTTACATTTCATTTTCTTTTTTTTTTTTATGGAAGCAACCTTAACTATCGTAATTCCAAAGATGTTTCTATACGTATCAGGAAATGACCATTGGTGTGGAAAATCGTATAAATAAAAAATATAGGAGATATAATTCAGTGTGACAATCGTTGAAGACATTCCCTTGTCAAGAATCCGAAACATTTAATATGTCCCAAAACACCGATTTCGTATTTTATTATTAGAGTGGTTCCACTATCAAAATTTCTAATTTTCAGTTTACATTTGTACCTCATTTTTTTTTAAATTTTCTGTGATTTCTTTGTAAACAGTTTTAAAATTATGTCTATGACATTCTCAATGTAAAATTATTTTTTTAGTAGTTACAAAATTATAGTTAAATTTTATTTACAAAGAGTTTTTTTAATTTAATAACAGGTTATATTTGTAAAAAAATGTCATTTTGCTTACTTTTTTATTAACTCATTTTCATATCGTATAATATGAGTGTTTTATAGAATAAATGTTTTTGATAAAAATCTCATTATTGGCATTATTATTTCATTACTACATTAGCGTTGCAAGTAAAGGAAATTAATTTCAACAGCGTAGTAAACAAAACAAATCAAATTATTTCATGAGATTTTTAGGATTGTGGCTCTGTAGCCGTAAAGAAATGGGAGAATCGATTTTACGTCTTGGCTTTACTTTTAAATGCTGTTAAAAGGTTTTCGAAAAGAAATTGATAAACGTTAACATGATTACTGTCATATTTATAATATTACCATGTTTACATTAAAATGTCATTGCCTATAAAAATATTATGTTTTTAGCATAAAGTATTGGTTTACGTGCTTAAACACTTATGTATATTTGCCATTTCATAATATAATATAAAGATTTATTTAATATAACGTTTCTATAAGTTATAAAATGCTGAACGTCTTCCCTTAAAATTATAACCTAATTTACAAATATTTAAATTTTTATAGAAATCAAATATTGTTTTTTGTATAAAATTAATGAAATAGTAGTGGCTTTGTACTTCAAAAACATAGCACCATTATCGGCCTGAAAGCTCGGGATGTATGAGTCACACAAATAAAATAAAAATTTAAAGTATTTAACTTGATACAAGTATGTTGATAGTTTTATAATTAAATAACTAATTTAATATATTTAATTATTAAAAATATTAGATGGTGTTAATGTGTTTTATTTTATTACTTTAACATTTTTATTGAATGAAATTTAGTGAAGTTATTTTACATGTAAAATTAATTAGAACAAGAAAAAATGATTTCTATTTTCTTTACAGATCGAATATACTAAAGTTTAATTTATTGACAATGCTACAAACGCAATAATGCATCCAAATTGCCTATACTAAGTGCCGTGCTTGAACATTGTCTGTTTTCTTAAGTATAATCTCTTGTAATCAAAAGTTATTTGACCATATTTTTTAATTTGTTTACTGGGAAAACACAAAGAACTGCAGCTTGTACTCTAATTTTCGTAGCATGAAGTGTAAATTAACTATAAATCTTATGAAATACCATTTTTTTTAATTTACTGAACAAAAGAAAATTGGTATTTTTCGTTAATTTGTTTAATTTTTCACAGAATTCTATAAAAATTGAATTATGTAAATTTTATACTTTATAATGAACACAACTGTGTTTATAATATTGATATTTTCCAAACCACTAAATTTTTCATTCTTACCGACTTATGTTTTTAACAGACCTATTAGATAACTAAATTATTCTTCTGGAGACATATTTTGTAAAGTCACCACATATTTCTTTTACTAGTGAATAATAAATAATAATCTATATACTTTTTCAAGTTTTTGTTCAAAAAAACTAATAAAAATGTAAGTACTAATGTTTATGTTCATATTGTCTTATATATTTATATGTGTATTACATTAATTTTACTCAACGATAAAATATCATTTATATGAATAGTAATAAAAAGAACCTAAATAATGAATCAACTTAGTCATCGACCATCAGATTAGTATGGTACATGATAATAAAGTTTATTATTATGAATGACGGAGAGTAATCTGAGTTCTAACTAGAACACGAGATAAAGCAATGTAACTTATTTTATCATATCACCAAGGAATAAACTTTGTTTTATACTAAATAGAAAACACGAGAATACTAAAAATTTTGACAACAATCATTGAAAAAAAGAGTTCTCCATAAACGTAGAAGTTAACTGCTAATACAGGTATTTTAGTTTTAGTCTTAACTCTTAAGTATCTATACCTTAGAAAACGTCACTTTAAATAAAGATCTGCTCGACAGATAACCGATGAGTTAAGTTCGAAATCATCCTTTGCAATGTATCTATAATTTATAACAACACATGACGTTGACAAACGACGCATTACTTATTATCACTCATGTTGATATGTTCAAATAAATTCACATGAGTTTTTGTAGCGAATAACAAGTGCAAATTAAGTATTGTTTGTAATTTTTCTGACATTATCATTAATATGTTCATTTGCTTACAATTTCTATAATTAAGATTGATTTTGTAGATTTAAATTTGTTTCTATTTCTAAACAATGAATCTCTTTAATTATACCTTATGAACACATCACTCTTTCTTTCTTATTTATTTTTTTCATTATAGCTTTAAAAAAAAATATGTTCGATATTAGATAATCGATACATTTTATACGAAAAATAATGACTGTTACACTGTTAAAGTAAGCGTATACTTTTTTTTTTTTATTTAAAAGATGTAGTATTCAAAATGCTTCAAAACCAAATGAACTTTTTAAAAATGTATGTGATCGTGTGATAGCCTCACGTTCTACGCCAATAATACACGCAGCTTATAAAAAATTAATTTAGTCCTTGAATTTGCATTTTTATTACTTCCAAATAGTGTAATTATAAATTTATATTTAGTTGTTACATTTTCGTGTTGTGCAAATGGTCATTTAAATATTCTAAATTTGACTGAATGAGTTTTGTTTATAAATTATTACACATATCTCCTTGTCAAATACCACAGTAATAGGTACGGTTTATTTTGATGTTGTATCATTTATTAGTTGAGAAACTTTAAGCTACGTCAGATTTCCTTTATTAATTAATAATAAAGTACGGTTGTTTAACTATCATACCTTAGATATAAAGGTATTGATAACAACTTATAATATTTATTATAATAGATGATTTATTTTAAGATTGCCCGCAGGTGTTCTAATAAATAATGTGTGGCGTATAAAATATAGTCAAGCTAGCCAGTCAATAAATTTATGTAATTATTTAACATTTTCAATTTTGAAAATAATTTAAAAATAAGATATCACAGTTAAATAAGAAAATTTATTGCTAAGTTTTAATTATTAAAAGTATCTAAAGTATACGATTAAAAATAATAAAATAAGTTAAATATTTTGTGAATTATATTTAGAAAAATTATTGACTAAAATTAAATGTTAATTTTGTCTTATTGTATCTCTTTTAAACGATAAAAAATTAAATAACAAATGGATTTGATATAAAATATGGAAACTTTCTTATGCATTTTCATTAACTAAAAAAATCAAGATGTATTGAATTAATAAGAATCTTTAGACAAAATTTAAATATATATTTATACATTTAATTAATTTAAAAGATATTTGATGTTTGATCATTTAAATATATATTAATTATACACATTATATAGATATAATTGTGTATACCTAAACACTAACATAAAAAATTGAGACACATTATTTTTATTTAACGTTGAAAAAAGCTATTGTGTAAGTTACGGAGTAATTTTAAGATATTTGAATTTTTTTACGGAGTATACTAACAGTTTTACAACCACGCTAGATTAAAAAAATACTGTTGGAAGAGAAAATAAAACTTGAAAGAGCAATAATACTCCACGAGTTCGTATCTACTATTGTTTTTCTAGCTGATTTTTTCTCATTATTCACACGTATTCTTTTATAAAAAAAAAGTTTCATTGAAGTTAGAAACGGTTGCTTTGAAAATAACCTACTTTTTCATTTCTCTTGTATTACAAATCACTGTAAAGTTTTAAAACAAGACGGAAACAATTTTTCAATCTGATGTGTACAGCTTCGATAAAGCCCACGAGTTAAACTATTGGCTGTGTGGCGGTCAAATAGTCGATCGTCGGAGAAAAACGACGCCGATTAACAACAGAATGACCATCGGCTGACATTTATCTTCGACGGGTTTATATGACGGACATCTACAGCAAAACCATATGGCGCCGGGTATAGTGGCGACGTGGTGATGTCATAGAAAGTATTCGCATGCAATACCCTTAACGTATTTGTCTTCTGGTAGTATAACGGAATTCGGTGTATCCAGAGAAACGGGTGGTTTTGTAGACAATAGGAACGAAGAAATAAGGTGACTAATATCACTTGACTAACACAAACCACAAACATTCCAAAACATGCGGCTCGTTGTTGCAGAAAAGAAAAGTCATTACTAAGCTTTCAGAATAGATTGCTAATGACCCAAATGGTGCGACAATAACACTATTGGTACAATGTTCGAAAACCTAGGGAACTTCTTATGTGTTATTATTTAACTAAAGGACAGCTTAACATATTACAACGATACATCATTTTCAATAACACGAATTAAAAACAATTCTTAATAACACACTTATTTTCAAGTTAATTTATATATTTAATCAGAACGATAAAAATTATATTCAATAATATATTGAATGATTTTAAT